AATCTCATCGGCTTCCGTGAACATGAATCAAGGCCTGCGAAAGTGAAGAACAAAAGCATGGTGCACCAGGAAAGTTTGCACCAACTGAAGTTAAAGTTGACAACATGCCTCGATAGGGGTTCAGGATTCGTTTAGAACCTTGTGCATACAAACAAACCATGCTACCCCACAAAATTTGACATTCCAAATGCAACTAAGGTTATGAAACTTTCAACAGAGGTCGTATCGACAAAAAGGGGATCCCACACTCAAGCTCCATTTTAAGTCAAAATTAAAAAGATTGCTCGAAATAAGTCTAGAAGCCACAAAACTCAAACCAAATGACCTTCTAAACAAAAATCAACACTCTGAAACTAAAAAAAAACATTAGAACTACATTCTGAGGCTATTTATCTAAATTTTTTATCGAAGTCAACCATTAAAGTTTCAAAAGCTCCAAAATATGACAGCTCGTATAAAAACCAAACGAACAACCAAGTGATCAAACTATCAGTCCAAGCAAGTCATATATGACTTGAGATTGCTTTAGAAAAGCTCTAAACGTTCAAAATAATGCAATAAGAAGAAAATGACCTAGATGATCATATTCTACTTTTAAATTAGTATTTTTTAATGATATTTTAATTTTCTTATTCAATAATTAACTAATTAAGTATAGTATTTTCTTTATTTTTGACTATTTTTGTTTACTCTCTTTAAATAGAAAAAAAAATTAAAAGAAAATCAATGATTTTTTGTCACTTGGAAAAGATTCCATTTTTTCATGTGCAATAAACTTTCTTGACCATTACTCTACACTATCACCATACATACACTCGGGTGACCTCACATACCCCACACAAATTTAAATATTTTCTTCATACAACTGCACGCACACTCACCTTGATGAGAGATACCACAAATAATCACATTTTTCTTCATTGTCCCAAAATACTACATTCACTATACTAAATACTCTCTCTTGTGCACTTGAACATAGGAAGAGAACAATAAATAGATGGGACATTTTTTTAGCTCGTAATCAAACTCATCTTCTTCTCCACAATGTAAGTTCAACATAGTCATCGGAGTTTTACCACAATCCATAGTCACCGCCCTTTTCCTTTCAATCGACCTCCACCACCAACAAAACAACATAACTCGAGCAATATCCCATAATTTTCTATTACTAATAACTTTAGTTGATTCTTTTTTCAAAATTTTAAGATTACACTCTAATTGAGTTGTATTGGAGTTTGGGTTCTTATGGGACGCATTAACCAAAATTAACTAAAAATTTTAAATCATGGTGGAAATTAACCAAAATATTTAAAGGAAATGGTTATTCATTAGAATAAGGCATAAAATGAAATTCTTTTAAAAGATGGTTGTTCAAGGGTAGCTGGTTAATTCATTATAGATAAGAGATTTAACTTTATAACCTTTTACTAACTTTTTTTTCTTTTTAGTTTTATGTCATTTTTATAAAATATTTTAATTTTTTCACATAAGATATCTGGAAAAGTTATTTTAAATTTTGTTAGTTATAAAATATCATATCTTGATATTGATTTTGATATTAAATCTATATATCATGTGTTTGATCAAAGGTATTAGCTCAAATTAATGTTATTTTTATATCAAAACGAGATGGTATCACTTATCTCGTATATAGAAGTTGAAATTGAAAAAATTATAGATTTTTAAATCAATAGCACCTAAGAAAATTAATTGATTAGGCGAATAAAGTCAAAAAATTAGAGTTTTACCTCTCTCTCCACCTCTTTCATATTACGATAACTAATCATGAATCTGATCATAGAACATATTGATCTAACCAAAAGATAGAAACTAAAGTAGGAGAAACATGAATTCTTTAAGTGGTGAATGAATTAAAAAGGTGGAGCAAATGCACGTATATTCAAATCATTGAGTGAACATATTCCTTAGCACTATGAAGAAGAACCAAAATGATTCTTTCTTCCTCTTTGGTAAAATGACTCATGAGACTTGCTAGAGCCTTCATATCATGAAGCCTCATATCTTTTTTTGGTGGATTTTATACTGATATGGAGTCAATTGATAAGAATTTGGTGAATCAATGTAAGATGTTGTAGAAAAGATCTGTTGGTGGTGGTGATTTGATAAGTCAATACTAGAACACTATTATTATTGACAATTAGAAAATGACACAAACACTTTTCTTTAATGGGTTCCTTTAATCCAATTTTCTTTGGAGTGAACCTTTGTATGACCTGCTATGACTTGGCTTGAAGAAAAGAATTGTTTACAACTGATGCATTGGTACTTCCACACACCGTTTTGCCTATTTTGTTCCTGTATTTTTGTTCCAGGTGTGTGAAAGTACTAATACATCAGTTGCAAATAATTCATTTCTTCAAGTCAAGCCATAATAGGTCTACAAAGGTTCACTCCAAAGAATGTTGGATTAAGGGAACCTACCAAAGAAACTTTTTAATGCCTTTTTTTTATTATGATCAACAATAGAGTTCTACTATTGACTCTTCAAATCTCCAGCAATAATAGATTTTTTCTACAACAACATCAAACATTGATTTACCAAATGCTCGTCAATTGATTCCATCTCCCATGCAGAATCCACCTAGGCATTATATGAGGAATCGAGATATCAAGAATTTGGCTAGGCTCATGGGTCATTTTACCAAAGAGGAGGAAAGAATTATTTTGCTTCTTCTTTATAGTGCTAAGGAATAGGTTCACTCATTTATTTAAATATATATGAATTTCTTCCACCTTTTAAATTCCTTCATCACATAAATAATTCATGTTTTTTTTATCTTACTTAAGTTTCGATCTTTTGGTTAGATTGATAAGTTCTATGATTAGATTCATGATTAGGTGTGGTGATATGAAAGAGGTGAAAAGAGAAGGGAGACCCTAGTATTTTTTTTCTTTTACTTTTATTCCCCTACTAAAATATTTTTAGGTGCTATTTGATTTCAAAATCTGGGATTTTGGCAATCTCAACTTTTATATTTATGAGATAAGTGATACCACAAGATTTTGATATAGAAATAACACTAATTTTAGCTAATACATCCGGTAAAACACGGGATATATAGATTAAATATTGAAATCAATACAAGGAAATGATCTCTTTTAACTACTTACATATTGAAAATAACATTTTCAGATATCTTATGTGAAAAATGAAAACATCTTACAAAAAAGACATTAAACTATAAACAAGTTAGTAAAGGGTTATCAAATTAAATCTCCCGTCTATAATGAGACAACCTAGTTAGTCTCTTCAAAAAAAAATGACTTATTAAAGAATTTTTTTTATACCTTACTCTAATGAATAATTATTCTCTTTATAAATCTTGGTTAATTTTCACCATGATTTATAAAAAAAAATTAATACAGCCCCAAAAGAACCCAAACTCCAATACAACTCAATCAGAGTGAAATTTTAAAATTTCAAAAAAGAAATCAACTAAAGCTATTAGTAATAGAGAATTTTTGATATTGTTCGATTTATAGGGTTTTGTTGGTGGTGGAGCTTGATTGATAGGAAATGGGTGATTACTATTGACTATGTTAAAGCTTCGATGACTATGCAAGACTTACATGGTGGAGAAGAGGCTTAACTAGATTGAAATCTAAATAAAATATCCTAGCGATGTATTGTGCTCTTCCTCTATCTAAGGTGCCCAAAAAAAAGTTTTAGATATAGTGAATGAAGGCCTTTCATGTGAGTGAAGAAAAATATGATTGTGTGTAATTTCTCTCTTACCATGGTGTGTGTGTGTACAAGTGTATGAAGAATTTTTTTTGATTGTGTATGGGGTCTAGGAGGTGCTAGGACCCAAACTAGGTAGGGGTGCAGTGTAGCCAGGCAGAGAGGTAACCCATCAGAATGACAGGGCTCAGTTTTATGCCTTTTCGGGCAAGGTCGAGGTTAAGGCGTCTGATGCAGTGATCATAGGTACTATTATTGTATGTGATCGGATGACTACTATTTTGTTTGATTCAGTTTCTACTTACTCTTATGTGTCAGTACAATATGCCTTGGAATTCTATATGATTTGTGATGTGCTTGATGCCCCCATCCATATCTACCCCAGTTGGAGAGTATGTCGTAGTCCCCCATGTCTATCATGTTTGTTCTGTCCTGATTATGGGTTTTCAGACTTGGACTGATTTGGTTATTTTGGATATGACTGACTTTGATGTAATCTTATCCCCCTATTATGATATGCTTAATTGTAATGCTAAGATTGTGACTCAAGAGATCCCGGGCAGGAAAAAATTAGAGTAGGAAGGGTTGTACAAGCCTAAGCCAACTAATATCGTATCTTTCATCTAGGCTAGGAAACTGGTGGGGTAGGGTTGTTTGGCATATTTGGCTCATATCCGGGATGTCGATGCAGAGTCCCACTCTATTGATCTATTCATGTAGTGTTTGAGTTTAAGGAAGTGTTTCCTAATGATTTACATGGTATGCTTCCAGATAGAGATATAGATTTTTATATTGACTTGGAGTGTCGCACTCGCCCAATCTATATCCCTCCTTATCGCATGACTCCAACAGAGTTAAGAGAGCTTAAGACCCAGATCCAAGAGCTCTTTGATAAGGGTTTTATCCGTCCTAGTGCTTCCCCGTGGGGTGCTTTGTAATGTTTGCTAAGAAGAATGATGGTAGTATGAGGATGTGCAAAGACTACCGATAGTTGAATAGGGTCACCATTCAAAATAAGTACCTATTTCCTCATATAGATGATCTATTTGACTAGTTGCAGGGTGCATCAATATTCTCTAAAATTGATTTAAGGTTTGGGTATCATCAGTTAAATACTAGGTCTGAGGATATCCCCAAGATGACATTTAGACTCGATATGGGCACTATGAGTTCTTAGTGATGTCATTTGGGTTGACCAATGTACCTGCACCCTTCATGAGTTTGATGAATGGTGTGTTCAAACCATTCCTAGATTCCTTTGTAATTGTCTTTATTGATGACATTTTGGTCTATGAAGGGTAAGGAAGAGCATGCAAACCATCTTCGTATTGTTCTTAGTGTCCTTGCGGAACATAAATTGTATGCAAAATTTTCTAAGTGTGAATTTTGGTTCTCCTCAGTTGCCTTTTTAGGGCATGTGGTTTCAAAGAAAGGGGTAATGGTAGATCCCCAAATGATTGAAGCAGTCAAGAACTGGGTCCGGCCTAGTTCTGTAACTGAGGTTAGGAGTTTTATGGGGCTTGTCAGCTACTATCGACGGTTTGTGAAGAATTATGCCTCTATTTCCATGCACTTGGCAATGCTAACTGAAAATGAGGTACCTTTTGAGTGCACTGACAAATGTGAACAGAGCTTCCAAAAGCTCAAGACTCTTATGACCACAATATCTAAAGGATGCTCAATATAAGGTGAGGAGTATCCAAGCTAAGCTTCTAGCCTCTTAGAGTTGACATAAAGAGTATGCAAATCGTAAGTTAAGGGACATGACATTTCAGGCTGGTGAAAAAGTTATTCTGAAGGTGTCACCTGTAAAGGGGGATGAGACTTGGCAAGAAGGGCAAGCTCAGTCCTCGCTACATCGGCCTATTTGTGATCCTTGACTGTGTAGGGACAGTGGCTTATAGGTTGGGTTTACCGCCTAGCCTATCTGGAGTCCATCCAGTGTTTCATGTGTCCATGTTGAAGAAGTATCATGAGGATGGAGATTATATCGTCAAGTGGGACTCGATTTTGTTAAACAAAGATCTTCAATATGAAGATGAACATGTTGCAATCCTTGATGGTGATGTCCGAAAGCTGAGAAACAAAGAGATAAAGTCAGTGAAAGTTCAATGGAAGCATCGTCTGGTTGAGGAAGTGAATTGGGAAACTGAGAAGGACATGCGAGACAAGTATCCCCAGTTATTTGATGATACAGATACTACTCTATTCTTGTCTTCTCCAGTTTTCCAGTTTGTCCCTCGGGGACGAGTGATGAGTAAATTGGTATATATTGCAACGATTTGTTCTCGTATTTATGGATAAGCCAACATAGAAGAAATATGGGCTAGAAAACTTCTAAGTAGCAACTTGGAAATTTCCAGCCTAGGCTAGACTTGGATGAAATTTGAGTCTGGTAAGGTCTAGGGTAATTCAATTATGGATGGGTATATGATTATGAATTTGATCATTTGAGTGGATAGCTAAGATGATTAAGAGCATGTACGGCTTCACAGAATTGAATTCAGGCGGTTAGAAATCTTGTAATTTAACTTAACGTGAAATAATGGTTCTAGAACATCAAAGTTTGTGGGTGTGTTGTGAAATGTGGACTTGGAACACAAATTTCGAGTCTCTATCTCCGTGCGAAATGCCACAGTGGGATTATTCCCAGCATGGCAGAGCCTCCATGCCGGGCCAGTCGTGAGCAAAAATGGTAAAAGTCCCAAAAATGTAATTTTTCTGCAAACTTCGTTCTTTGAGAGCAAAAGGGCGACCTAGGGATATTTCTTCTTGTTTTTCAATAATTCTCGTGCTAAAGGTAAGTCAATTAGTCCCTTAATTTGTAATTTGATTCTTAGAACTTATAATCCTTGATAGGTATCCTTGGGTGAGGGTTGACTTGAATTTAATGGTGGATAAAGCCCTAGTTGGGTCTTAGGATCATGAAATTGGACAAGGGTTAGAATTTGGATATAATTCGAGTAAACTAGGCCACTATTATTGATCCTTTGCGTTAATTACTTGTTATAGACCAAGAACAAGTTGAGAGACTCTGGAAAGGTAAAGCTCAAGTTCCTTAAGAGTGTTCAGGCTTGGTTTCGAGATAAGTGATGGTTTGATTTCCTATCTGTGCAATATATGCCTGCTAATTACTCCATTGTATTCATGCATATAAGTGAATAGGGAAAGATGAAATGAATCTAATGAAATGACTATTTGTGATTCTGTAGCATAAAATGAACTTGTTACCTGATTGTACGACACAAGTGTGTAAATCATTTATTGTGGTGTTGATTGTGTTTGTTATTGTGGTTGATTGGATCAGCTGTCACGTTCCAACACATAATTGGATCGAGTGTCACATTTAGACACATATTGGATCGAGTGTCACGTTTTGACACATTTTTGGATCACGTATCGTGTTCCGACACTCTAACAGTTTGAGTGTGGGTTGCATGAGAGAACCATCATTCACAATTGCATATGAGATTGGTATTGTGAAACTGATATATTCAACATGAACTGGTAAATTGTAATTCATTTTTGTATTTGTGTTGTTTACTATGTTGTAGTTACTTGTGTATGTCACACTTACTGGAATAGCCACGTGATCCTACCAGTACACCGTTGGTTTGTGTACTGATACTGCACTTTCTCTTTATTTGTTGAGTCTAGCGCATCTTCAGGCGGCTGTTGAGAGACCTCAGCTAGGAAATCACTTGTCGGGTTCAAGGATGAGCCAGTTCCTTCAAGCTACCATGTATTCATCTGGGATTTTAGTCCATTTTCATCGGACTTAGACTTTTCAGACTCTTTACTTTATGTTTAGTTGTTTGGGGGTTGCATCCCCTTATCTTAGACTATTTAGTTAGAAGTTTTGATATGATGACTTTTAGGTTCTAGTTTTGGTATAATGACATTGAATGTACTAAGTATGAGGAAATATGCATAAACATGGATATGATATCCTAGTAGGCTTAAAACATGTAATGCATGACAAAGTATAACATTTAAAAGCTTAGAAAGCAAAGTGATCAAAACCATGAGACAAGGTCAAGCATTAATAAAAGATATAATGAAAGCTTTAAGGCAAATCGTAGTTCTTTTGTCGGATCTTATCTTTACCCGACAATACACCATGTGAGATATATCATGGAATTCGGTAAAATTCCCACATAAAAAAGGAGAATCTACTTGTCAAGGTAGAACTTTGTATCATATCACTAATGTTATGTGGATCCACTAGCTATGTAACACCTCGGGAATCAGACTAGGACTTTTCAGCAGAAAAATGTGAACCACAGAGGGGTTCACGGGCCGTGATCAGGACCACGGTCTGTCACCCTCATCGTGGTTCACACCCACCCAGAAGTGGTGGACGACGAGACGCTTCACGAGCCGTGGGAAGGCTCGTAGAGGTGAGACAGAGCCACCAGGGCTCAGGCGTCAAACCACGAAGCCCCACCACAGGCTGTGGTCATGATGACGGGCCATGGGAGGGTTTATCTTCCTTCAGCCAGCAGATCCCCAGCCCAAGTAAAGAACCACGGTGGCCTTCACGGTTTGTGGTTCTTCGCACGGGTTGTGATAAGGCTCGTGGATAGACCTCCCCAGAACTAGTAGACCCTGGCCAGCAACCACGACACACTTGACGGGCCGCGGTGCCTTTGACGGTCCGTTAGTGGCTCCATGGAAGGGACTCGTCAGTTTTTAAGTTAAGGTCATTTTAGTCTTTTCCCCTATGCATTAGGCATTTAAACCATGTCGTTTAAAACCTGAACTATGTCGTTTTACGCAGTTTAGGCAGAATAATATAGTCAGAACCTACCTAAAACATTATTCTCCAAAATTCATCTGAAACTAGAGAAAAAATAAGAGGAAAAGTCGACCAGCCTCTCAAGAACACGCAGAAGGTTTTCTTCAAGTTCCATCTCCAAAATCGAAGAATTTCTCCGTAGATTTTGTCACCAGGTCTGTGGGATTTCACTAGTGGATTCCTTTCATCCATTAGGTCCCTAGAATTCAGTTAGATTATTGATTCTACATGACTTGCTTAGTCCTAGGGTTTCTAAATCCTTGGATAATTGTTGTGATTTAGCTGTTGTAGTATTCTTAATCAAAATATCATGATTTCTTGGAAATGTTGTTTAATTCCTTGTATGAAACTCAGAACCCTAGTTTGTGTAGATTCTCTTAGTTTAAGAATTTCACTTGCTAGGTCAGTTAAACAGATAATCATGCTCCAGCTTTTGAATGTTACATTATTAGTATATAAATGTTTCATTCTCAGATTTTGCATGTCAGTATTTTGAGCTATTCAGCATTTTAGTATTTTTGTCATAATGTGGCATATACATATTCAGTTGGAAGTAGACTTAGTACCGAGTCGGACTAGGGTTCAACGTACCCTCATACTCTCAGAACTACGTGCCCCCGTAGGAGTATAAGCCCCCTCTATTGGGCATCAGATTTAGTGATCATGTCAGTCATGCCTTTATACCCCCAGGCAAGGTATATTGGGTCCTCTCGATGGGGTGTATATATCAGACTCCACGTTTAGCTCACATGGTGGTATGTCGGTTAATAGTAGCTCCCACAGTCAGAATCTTAGTGCATTTGACCAGGTTTTTAGTATATACTTCAGTATTCAGTGTAGCATGTCATGTTCATGATTAGCACTTGGTCATTGCATTCAGTTTAGCTTTTCAATATTTACTTCCTTACTCAGTTTATGTTATTGCTCAGTTATAATTTGTTAAGTGTACATATATTTGTTCAACTTAGTATCTATATCTTGCATGCTCAGTACATTTCAAGTACTGACACATACTCTGCGCTACATTCTTTCATGATGTAGGTTCTGGTACTCATCGTCCATATCGTGCTTAGATCGATTCTCGATCCGCACTCAACAGCTTTAGTGGTGATTCATCATACTACGAGGACAATAGACATGCTTTCATTTCATTCTTTACATTTCAGTTTCAGTTTCGTTAGAGTTAGATGGGGGGCATATCCCAGAAACTCAACTTAGTTAGAGGCTTTTTCAGACATAGTAGTAGGGTCATCTTGACTTGTTAAGTTGATCTGTCAGTGTTATTAAACTCTTAGTATGATATATACATTCAAACTAGTTGGGGATTCCCCATTTTCTAGTTATCTATTATTTAGCTTCCGTATAGCATTTGTCTTATTTAGTATTTTCAATATGCTTATGATATGCCAGACTCAGGTTAACTTGGGGTCACTTGTGATCTTAGGTCCTATGTTACGTCGAGGGGGTAGCCTCAGGGTGTGACAAACTTGGTATCATAACATTAGGTTCGAGTGTCCTAAGATGTATGAAAGCCGCACTAAGTAAAGTCTCTTGCATGGGTGTGAAGTGCACCACGTCTATGAGAGGGAGGCTACAGAGTGTTTTAAGAAAAACTTCACTTTCTTTGTATTTTTATCGTACGTGGGTATGATCCAACTTCTCTTTTCTAATTCGTCGTTATACATTTCAAATCATGCCTCCTCGTAGACCTTACGCAGGGAATGTGAGTGCACATAATGCTAACGCAGTTCCTCCAGTCCCGAACCATGAGGTTACGAATGTAGAATTTCAGAATGCGATCCAACTCTTGGCTCATAGTGTAGCCAACCAGAACAACTAGCAGGTCCCAGATCCTACTAACACAAATGGTGGATCAGTGGCAGCTAGGG